GAGGAGGAGGAGGAGAAGGAGGAGGAGGAGGAGGAGGAGGAGAAAGGAGGAGGAGGAGGAGGAGGAGGAGGAGTGGTGCCCCCATGCCGCCTGTGCAGCGGAGCCCCCGAGACGGCAGAGTACCTCCTCGAGCACTGCTCCGTCCGTGCACTGCATCGCGCCAGGGCGGATCTTCTCAGCGTGCTCCCGGCATCAGCGGCTCCGCGGGCAACAGCAGGGGCCCGCTGCGCTCTGCCTCCGCCCCACAGGGCACGGCGCGCATGTATGGGATACGCCCAGATCTCTCGCGACTCGCCACGTGCCGGAGGTGACTTCGGCCTTCGGGCCCTTGCTGGGCCCTGGAGCTAGGAAGAACGACTGGAGGGATGAAGCCTCCAAGCGGCCCGAGGCAATCAAGCCGTCGGAGGCCTCGGAACGCAGCATCTCCTCGGCACTTGGGAGCACCCCTCGGGGATGAAGCGCCGTGCCTATCCCCGTCCCCAGCGTCCCACGCCCCCGGCCTGGCCACCGTGCACTGAGTGGATTGTCTCGATTATTCAGAGCCCTGAGCGCTCAACCTTCATACGTATATCTATATATACACATGTATATATATATATATATATATATAGACTGTGTTATCAACGTTTTAGGGTTCGAAGTAACGAATCCACGGAATCTCCGGGGTGTGCCGCGTGCCATTTGGGGTGTGTCGCGTGTCTTTTCCTGAGGCCGTATAGGGCCTGAACCCAGACCCCCGACGTGATATTTTTTCACATCGTCGACCCCGAGAGGTCTCGACCCATTCTCCAGCACAAGTTTTTCATCCTGAGTCGTTGATTGGCGGCCCCGAGGCCCATAACCGGCCCCTGGAGCCCGATAAAAAAAGCAAGACACGTCCCGTCGTTCTCTTCCACGACGCGAGGGGGTCTGGGCATGGTAGCACGAAGACTTCGCCAGGTGTGCTGGCGATGACCTGAACACACACACCCAGCCGGCGAGGCCCTGCCGGGGGTGGAGCACGTGAGGTGCGGCGGAGAGGAGGGTGGGTGCTCAGGCCTGGCCGCTCGCCTGTTTGATTCCCAGACGGGGCCGGGTGGCGCCCTGTCGAGGCCCGATGCTGGCCCCCCCCCCCAAGGAAGGCGGGGAGGCAGAGGAGGATGGCCCTCGGGCCTGGGCGTCGCACAGACATGCCGACTGGTGTCTTCCCTTTTCTGTCGGCCTCCGGAAGTTGCCGCCTGGCCCTGGGGACGTCAAAGAGCGGCTCAGGATGAGCGTCCGGCCTTGGGGAAGAGGGTTGAGATCCTCGGGGGCCTATGTTGCGACACAAATGCGTCGGAGGAAGAGATGTGGGAGAGGCGGGAGGCAGGAGGAGTTGGGGCCATATCGGGCCGTCATGGAGGCATCTTGGGTGAACATGGAGGCCTCTCGGACCCTCATGGGCCGTCTTGGATGGCATCTTGGATTGTCCTGTGTTATATTATTGACCATCCTGGCCAGCTCGGAGGCAGATTGTGTTGATGCGGTCGGAGGGGCAGGAGGACGATCTGCTCGTCGTCTGTCGGGAGGGGAAAAACACTGACTCAATGAATCGTCGATTCCCCAGAAAGTATAGGAAAATATGGGAAGTGGGGAGAAGACAAAAACCCAGAAACTATGGGAACATATGGGGAATCCAATTATTTGTATCTATTTATTTGTGTGTCCCAGGGCCCCTTCAGTCCTTCTCGCCGCCGTCGCCGTCGCCGTCGCCTGGCGCAGGAGGATCTGGCCGTCATCCACGCTGCATTCGGGGCGGGCGCACCCGCGGGCGCCCAGCAGGCGCTGGAGGACCTCGTCGGGGGGGGGGGGGGGCGACGTGCGCCCGCCACCACTGGGCCTCCGCAGGCTCCAGGGTCTGGGGTCCTCCTCCTCCTCCTCCTCCTCCTCCTCCTCCACCTCCTCCACCTCCTCCACCTCCTCCTCCTCCTCCTCCCCATCCCCCTCCCCCTCCCCCTCCCCCTCGCCCTCCCCTCGATCTCGGCGGCCGCTTCGGCGCAATGCGCGGCTTGACCTGACCGGTGGTCTGGCCGTCTCGTGGGCCGTTTCTGTTTCGGCCGCGGTCTGCAGCCGAAAGGCGGAGCGACGGCAGCCTGGAGAAGGATCACAGAGCGGCAACGGCAGACACGGTTCTAGGCTCAAGTCGGGCATGCCCCTCTGCAGGAGGAAATTTCAAGAATGGTAAACAGATAAGTTTGGGATTTTTGTTTGTATTTTATTAGTATCATCATCATTATTATTGTTATTATTGGTAGTACTGATATCATTATCACTACTCTCATGGAAATAGTAACATATATATATATATATGCACGTACATAAGAACACTTATGTATACACAAGATTTGACACTTGTGGAATATGTTGTTTGCCTATTTCGATATTTCTCCCAACATTCGCCTGTAGGAGGGCATGCCCGATCTGATGCTAGGCCGCTGCCCGGCGCCACGGGCCGCGCGGGCGTGGGCCCCGAGGGCCGAGGCCGCTCGCCGCTCGCCAGAGAGCCTCCTTCGGGGCCCTCTCCGTCGGAGGCGATCGCTCATGGCTGGGCGGCTCACGCGGCGACCGGGGCCACATCGGCATCGCCCAAACATGATTATGCTATGTGATCGTCTTCTTATTAATCGCTTCGCTCATTCCGCCGGCCCTGGAGCCCTCTTCAGGGCATCTTGGGGGCCTCTTGGGGACCTCTTGGGAGTCTCTTGGGGCTCCTTGGCGGCGTCTTGGTGGCCCCCAGGGCCTCTTGGGGGGCTCTTTGGGGCCTCTTGGGGCGGGAAGGGGGGGTAGCCGATTGCGGCTCCCCCCTCGGAAACCACGATCCTCGTGAGGGGTATCGAAAAATGGCCCTCCCTTGGAGCGCTCTGGGGACCTGACCGGGACCTGACCGGGACCCTGCTATGTGATCGTCTTCTTGTTCTTTGTTTTGCCGGTCGGCACGGGCTCCCCCATGAGCAGATCTTGGCTGTTCTTGGCGCCCATTTGGAGCACGCGGGATCTCCGCCAGAGGATCGTACTGTTGCAAACAGTCGCGTTAGGCAGAGGTCCAGAGCCAGACCCCCCCTCCACTTTCGATCAACGTCGAAACGCCGGATAAGCAGACGTTCGCTATGCTAGGCGTTCCAAGAAGGGCCCTGCCTTCGAGGATCGAAGGAATTGCCATCTCTTCCCCAGCGGAAGGCCGCGGAGGGGCAGCGGAGGGCGGCGGAAGTAAAACGGCGGTGTCTCCGCCCGCAGGCAGGAGGCCGGCGACAGCCGGCGGAAGCGAAAGTCGACCCCCCTCGAGACGACAACATCTTTGGGTTCAGAGCTGGATTTTCGTTTTTGGGGGGCCCGTCATTGGGTCTTTTTAGGCCTCCCAGACGCGGTCCGAGTAGATGGGGTCGGAGGATCGCGCCGCATCGCCGATGCATCGACAATGCGGCTCGATGCGGAGCCCGATTTTCTCCACGCCGGCGTCGCCGATGCATCGCCGACGTCGCCGATGCATCGCCAGTGAATCGCCGATGCATCGCCGATGCATCGCCAATGTATCGCCGATGCGGCGCGATCCTCCGATTCCATCTATTCCGACCCCATTCAGGAGGCCTATAGTCTTGGGATTTCTCAAGCGTGGATCCGTGCCCGGCCCTTCTTGGGGCCGCGCACGAACACATCATATCCTTGGGTGTCTGGGAGCACTGGGGTCAGAGGCGGTGGAGGGAGGGGGAGGTGTGGAGAGAGGTAGGAGGAGGAGGAGGAGGAGGAGGAGGAGGAGGAGGAGGAGGAGGAGGTGGAGGAGGAGGAGGAGGAGGAGGAGGATGGGGAAGAGCAGGAGGGGAAGGAGGAGGAGGAGGAGAAATAACAGCTATAAGAGTAAGGAGCATAATCATACACATAATAATACTAAGAAGAAAACGAAGACGACTAGTAGGAATAAAGATATTCATAATAAGAAGAATAATACATACATACAATAGTGACATTAAGAACAATCATACTACGAAGAATATGAATGATAATAGTACTAACAATATTAATAACACGAATAAGAAGATACTCATAATCAGAAGAGGAATACGAACAATACTACGACTAAGAATAATAATACTAAACATGGTACGAGTAATAATAAGAAGAGGAGGAGGAGAAGGGACCCACGCCGCTGCTCGCCCTGGAGGTCTCTTTGTCGCCACGGCCGGACTCTGCTCGGGTTTCCTTGTCATTTCGCACCCTTGGGAGGAGGCATCTCGGTATTCTGTTCTCCGCAGATGGTTGTCTGTTTTTTGGGAGGGGTGGCGGTAGCGGCTCCTGGGCCGACGGTTCGAGGAGGCCACCCACGGGGCAAGCGCATAGGACCGTGCAGCCACCGCACTGCAACGAGCAGCTACGGCCAGGAGGTGGCGGGCAGGAAGCGGCCCGCCCACACTTGGGATGGCAAGCGTCGTCGGAAACTGGAACATATACATTACCAGTGGCGGGCTGTTTTTCAATCCCAGGACTTCTTGAGAGTCGAGGACGACGCTGGGGTGGTGTGGTGTATATATGTTCCCCCGATGTCCCGGGGAAACAACGAAAATGTATACACCAGGGTCCCTTATACACCAGGATCCGCTCTCACATGCAAATTCCAATGCAGGGCCAGAAGAAGCGTCGGTGTATAGAGTTCGATCCCCTACATCGGAGCGCTTGCAACAGACACCCAGACTCTGGACCTGGCCATTGCCAATACGCGCACGGTCCTCCTGGAAACCGACGGGAGACACGCCAAGGGAGCCAGACTTGGAATTTGGAAGGGCGCCCCTGCAATGGGAGAGGAGGATCCGCACTGGTCTGGTGCCCCGGGACCCGGCCATCTGGTGGAACAGTTTCTGGGCGAGCTGCCCAGCTTGGAGCTGATCAGGGCGACCTGGTACTTCCCGCTCCTCGGCTTCGAGATGGATCAGCATTACAGGGCGTTTTGCGACCAGCGCCCCCATGCTAAACACACCTACGCGGTGGACACTCAGGACCTGCGACTCCTACGCGAATTCGCCGAGCTCGTATGGAGAAGGTGGCGCACAGAAGCTGTCCCGCGTCTTGCAAGGCGCGCCTCGAATTCCGACCAGTACGTTCTGAGCCGCGTAGTTGATTGGCTCATCGGGTCTGAGGAAGCGGGGCTCGACTGGATGGAGTTCTGCGCTAAGCCCAGCGCACTTGGCGTCTCGCATTCACCATTCGTGCACTAGCAGCGGGTGATCCTGGGGTGCGATCAACTAGCGCGGTGCCCCTTGTCGGGGTTCAGTGCCACAGCCCCGTCCAGGGCTGGACCTAAACGGTGTTTTGGGCGATTTCGTGGGCCGTTTTCTTTTCGACTTCGTTTTGCGGTAAAGGCGGACTCGAGACAAAAGCGAGGGAAAACGGAAACACAATGAAAACGAAACACACCGTTGAGGTTCAGCCCTGGTCCCGCCCGAGAAGCGCTCGCCATCGCCCAACCTGGTAGAGCTGCGGGCCACCACCCAGTCCAGCTCAGCACTGCGGGACGACCAGGAGCTACGCCCTTGGAGTCGCTCGGACGTGTACATTTTTCCTTCGGCGAGGACCAACGATGAGCATCCTTGATCATTTGGCGAAAAAACCACGCACGAAATCGAAAAGAGCACAGGGCACGGAATGTTGCACTTTGTGCTGCTGGTGACCTGGCTCATACCTTCGGGCCGGACGAAAGGGGGGGATTGGGAAAGGGGGGGGTTACGAACTCTGCTGCATGCCGCGGGTTTCGGCCCCACCGAGGGGCCCATGGCCGCCTCGGGCGCCGGGAACATCATCTACGTGAGCTGATTCTCAAACCCCCCCTTTGCTATCCCCCCCTTTCGCCCGGCCCGATCTGTGCTGCTGGTGACCTGGCTCATACCTGCACCACTCGCATTTGCATCCGCACCTGGTCATGGGTCTCGCCCCTGGGCGTTCCTTTTCCCTTGGTTGTCCTCTGCCAGCAACTCCCATGATCGTGGTCTGCCGACTTCGAGCTCCGCTCCAACAAGGACTTCCACCTCCCCGCTGCGCAAGATTTGCGGCACACGCTGATGGACTACATGTTCTGAGCGTGTTCCCTCCCCTTTCCCCGCTCGCTTTCCTCCCCCCTGCCGCCCTTCGTGACCAATTCGGCCTAGTTCACCCCGCGTCTGCCTTAGAACGCGGCTCGGGTTCTCGCCCCTGCGGTTGTTTGTTCCCCACGGGGCGCCGAGATCGCAGGCTGAGAACGCACGTCTTGATTTTTCGTGTCCTGCTGCTGTCCGACACCTCGTGCCCCGCGTTGCCGCTGACGAATATAGGTTTCGCGACGCTTCGGAGGTCTGGGCTGGCGCCCCCCCTTCACCAACGGCCCAAACTCGCCCCGAACAGGTTCACAGGGACCTTCCTGGGCACCAGCCTGGCCCGTTTTCCGAGCCGCGTCCAGCCGTGTCGAGTGCCTGCCTCCCAAAGGTCCAACAGAGGAGGAGGAGGAGGAGGAGGAGGAGGAGGAGGAGGAGGAGGAGGAGGAGGAGGGGGAGGAAGAGAACGATGAGGTGAACGATGAGGCGAACGATGAGGAGGAGAGGGAGGAGGAGGGGGAGGAGGAGGAGGAGGAGGAGGAGGAGGAGGAGGAGGAGGAGGAGGAGGAGGTCATTTCCGCCCTCCGAGGAGGCCCTGTTGGGCGAGGACGGCGGTGAGAAGAAGTTTTTCTTCAGCAGGTCGCGAGGCCCCTCGCCAGCAGCGGCTCGTTCCGCAAACAAAGGTTCGTCGGCGTCACCGTCGTCGTCGTCGTCGTCGTCGTCGTCGTCGTCGTCGTCGTCGTCGTCCTTCCTTCCCCATCCCCCTCATCGTCGTCCTCCTCCTTCCTACTTCCTGCTTATTCCCTATGTCTTTCTGTTTCCTTGTCCAGTCGCTTTTGCTACCGTTGTTTTCGTTTGTTCTCCTTGTATTTCGAGTGCCTTATGGCCAGTGCCGCCGACCCTGACGACGACGACGACGACGACGACGACGACGACGACGACGACGACGACGACGACGACGACGACGACGACGACGACGGCGACGACGACGACGACGACGACGACGACGACGAGGGGTGCGCCCACCCAGCGGGTGGGGGGGGATCACAACCACTGCCCCCCCCCTCCCCCGCCCCTCCCACGGGGGGCGGGATCAAAGGGAAGGGGCTTCCCTTCCATTCGATTGCGACGTTGCTCGATTTCCCTCTGGCTGGAACGCTTGAGGGGGAACGACGACAACGACAACGACGCCTCAACCTGGGAAGCCTCCCACACACGCCGACAGGGTCGGCGGATCCCAGCTGGTTGTAGATTTGTTTTCCCTGTCCCTTTTCCTACCCTTTCTCCTTGCTCCTCCTCCTCCTCGTCCTCATCCTCCTCTCTCGCTCCCCTTTTCTGCTTCTCGCCCCGTGCTCCTCGCCTCGTGCTCCTCGCCCCGTGCTCCTTGTCCTTCTCCTCCCCGTCCTTCTCCTCCTCCGTCTCTTCTTCTTCTTCCTTCTCCACCTCCTCCTCCTCCTCCTCCTCCTCCTCCTCCTCCTCCTCCTCCTCCTCCTCCCCTGTCCCTCTCCCCCTCCTTCTTACAGCCGGACCGAGGTACAAGATCAAGGCTGGTTCGGGGAGGGTGCCCTAGTGTTGTTCGTGTATTTTGGATGTTAACGTGCATCTTGGGGAGGGAGTGCTTGGATGTTTTGGTTGCTTTGGCCGGCGGAGGGTCTCATGTTCTTCAGGGATGTTCTTCTGGCCTGGGTCCGACTGTATCTTCCGTGGCCATTTTTGGCGCAAGGCGCGGCGGCGGCAGTGAGCCATTCCAGGGTTTCAGCTTCAGATCCCCCCCGGATGTAGGGTCCGAGTCGGCTTCTGGCAGATGGCCGCGTGACATGCCGACACTGGCAATTCAACGGCTCCGAGGGCTGTCCAGGGCGTCCAAGCACGTGGGGTTGAGCCAGAAGGTCCGATACAGGAATTCGAGTCCGCGTGCCACCCAGTAAGACATGCCGCAGGGCCGTCGGTCGCGGACTTCACCTGGCAGGCTCAGCAGGAACTTCAGCAGCGGGCAGCGTCGGAAGACTGCTATGCCGTGCCGAACGACCTCGTGACCGCCAGCAGCAACAGCATGGCGCATTCAAATGCCCGGCACATGAAGTGCGTTGAGGGAAATTTTTAGGATTACAAGCCACATCTTATGGAGGCGCTAGCTGACGGCCTGCCCAAGCCCCCCAAGTTTTGCGGCACTGGGAGACAGGAACACAATCTCTGCTCCAAAGACGGCCAGAGCGAGCAGAAACGGCGAGGGGAAGAACAGTAACGAAGATTTTAATCAGCGGCAGGATCCCCACGAACACTTGTAAGCAAGCTGATCCCGAGCGAGAGTCGTTGCAGTCAACCGCCGCCCCTAGGCAGAAGAAACGGCATACATTAGAGCATCTCTTGCCAGACGGGCTCGTTGCGCTCCTGCGTACCAGGGGCAGCGCGCATAACACCGCTCTCCACAAGCAGTGTGTAGTCCTCCTCGCTCCGTCCTCTCCCCTTCGTATCGTCGTCCCGTCCTACTCCTCCCTCAGTCGTGCATGGCGCTAGTCAGCTAAGCTGCCAATCCAAGAACTGGGGGCCAGAGGATGGGAGTTTGGGCTGTTAGCGATGCAGTTCACTTTAGACAGCCATCGTTGGAATGACGAGTGCAGGCCAGCAGTCAGCAGGAGAAATGATCAGGCCGGCTCCAGCAGAAGTAAGCTTGGAAGCGCGCTTAACCAGGGCGAATTTCGGCTCCTCCGATGTGAGTCGCTTTGATTTCGATGGATTTCGACTCCGATTCGATTCGGTTTCGGATTCCGATTTGGGCTTCGATTTCCAGATTGAGGTCTACTAGCCTGCCGATTTCCGCCGATTCGACTTCTCCCGACTTGGCTGCCGATTCCCGCCGATCCGATTCATGTCGATCGCGGATCCGACTTATCGATTCGATTCTGGGCTCTCCTGCTTAACCACGAAGGCACCGGCATATGATGTCTTCCGTTTGCCTTCCCTTCCATCCTCCCATTCCACGTCTTCCGCCACCACCTTGTCCTCCGAATCTTGTGTCTCAGTAGCCAGGCTAGAGGCGTCGGCAGATATGTTCTAGGAGAGCGGCGAGTTGGGCATGAATAGCAGGGGTGGGTGCGGAGCGTTACGGCACATTCAAGTGCAGCGGAAATATTCTCAAAGAGCCCCCCGCAGACTGCCGAATCGCAGCAGTAGAGGCGTCTGGATCGAGGATCGGTCCCTCCCTCTTCTCTCCTTCCCTTTCTGATCGATCCTCTTCCGCTTGAGCAGGCCAGGACAACTGGCCAGGCTGATGTACTCGTGCCAGAGGGTCCCAGGTGAAGATCTAGTCGCAGCGCCCCTTTCAATATTGCGAAGGCCTGACGGCCGGTGCCGCCGACCCTGAAGAGGACCACGACGTCGGCGACGAAGCGGGCGGAGACGGAGGCCGTGGGAGATGATGATGAGGAGGAGGGGGAGGAGGAGGAGAAGGAGGAGGAGGAGGGGGAGGAGGGGGAGGAGGAGGAGGGGGAGGAGGAGGAGGAGGAGGAGGAGGAGGAGGAGGATGGGGAGACAAACCTCTTTTTCTCCATGTCCTTCTCACCCTGCGTGCACGGCGCCAGGCAGGCGCAGCTGCCTCGTGAGGGCACGGGGAGGTGGGGAGATGAGGTGGGCGGGAGCGGACACCTCCACTCGCGCACGGGCTCTGGCAATCCACTGGTGCGAGCACCCCTTGATGCGCAGTGCGAGGGCTGTTATCTCTATCCTCCTCCTCCTCCTGCTCCTCCTCCTCTTCCTCCTCTGCCTCCTCTCCTGACCGGTTGCGGTCCAGCTTTCTGGTCCTCGTTTCCTGGCTGCGGGTTCGGGTGTTGAGGCGTCAGGGTCCCAGGCTCCGAGGAGACCTCGGGTTTCGTTGGCCGCCGCGAGTCTCTATCTTTCTGATTGCCTCCCGGCTTTCGGTCCTTTCGGTCTGAACGAAGATGAGCCCCGTGAGTTTGGAGAATTTTTTTCGTGAGAAGATCAATCCTGCTGCCAAGGATGACGACCTTTTTTCCTAGGGGCATCCTGTCGCTGGTCCGCGGATGGGCAGTCCAAGCCACCCGCGGTGACGAAAAGGACCTCTCTGATGACCTCCCTGGGTTTCTGGCGACTCTCTCCCTTAAGTGGTGTGCAATCCTCTTGCTCTCCTGTCCTCTAGGGCAGAGATGCCGAAGCCGAATGAGCATCGGCAACGGTTCGGTACTGTCCGAAGGCCTGTTCTGGGCCACTACAGTACTCGTTTTTGTTTCTGTCCTTGATCGTACTTCTACCCCTTCCTTCTCGCTTCCCCTGCTCCCCCCTATCCCCGATGCCCCCCCTCTCCTCTGTCCGCGCCTTCTCGTGCTGCTGCTGCTGCTCCTCCTCCTCCTCCTCCTCCCGCACACCAAGTGCGCGACCCTCACGCGCAGCTCTCGCCGGCTGTGAGCCGCGGTCTCGGGGCCCGATCTCTTCCCGCCGCGCGATGGGGCGGTGGGTCGGTCGGGTCGGGCCTCGCTGCGTCCCTGGAGGGCAGGTTCGCGTCGTGCCGACGTGGCGGCGGCACCGCCACGGGCGTGCGAGGCCAAGCGCCAGTGGTCCAGGATCGACCAATATTCAGGAGGGGAGAGACACAGCCACGAGTGATCGTCGATCCCCAGGAAACTGTAGAAAGATATGGGAAGGGGGGGGAAGGCACACGAACCCAGAAAGCATGGGGAACTCTCAGGGAATCCGATGATCTGTGTGTATGTATTTGTGTGTGTCCCAGGGCCCCTTCAAATATGGAGTGATCTGGCGATCGGCAAACCGCCGATCGACCAAAGGTGAACGAGCCAAGCGGTGGCAGACACCAGCGCCTGCGGCCGTCACGACACGAACCAGACCTACCGTACCTCCTTCTCCCCTGCTCGCTCCCCAGGCCTCCCGCGTTTGAGATTTAACTTGTTGCGTTGTTACCTGGTCTGGTATGTATCTTGATTGTCCTTATTGTTGTGACTTTGTGTTTGCGTTTACAAAATGCATGGTGTGTGTCACAAGTCACGGACCCGATGAGTCCGTCCGCCAAGATCCCATTACCTACCACCCGCACAGATGGATGTGAGGAGCAACGCGGATACTGAAACACTCCCCACGCCGAAGTTCTTCGGACGAGGCCCTCCCTGGCAACGACCCCAGACCCACGACGCCACTTTTGTTTCGTAGCGTGGACCCCCGGGAGGTCTCGACCCATGCCCTGGGACCCGCTTTTCATCCTGGGCCGTTTTTTGACGGCCTTGGGGCCCAGCGAGGGCTCCAAGAGCCTGAAGATGGCAACATACAAACCGTAAAAAACGGGTCTGGGAATGTTGCTGGCCCCCTGGCTTGAGCGGGTCCCGCCCGAAGAGGCAGGCCGCCACGAGCCCACGTGCCCTTCGACCAGCTTTTCCTCCTGGGCAGTTTTTGGACGGCCCCGGCAAGGGCTCCCAGATGCCGAAAATGGCATCACCACTTCCAGCCGTTTTTTACGCGACGCCAGGGGGTGCGTCGGCGGCGAGCGAGGGGGGGAAGTGAAAAGGAGAAGGTCACCTCAGAAGGCGGCGGGTCTTCTCAGAAGCGCGCTGGTCTTCTGAGAAGTTTTCTGTGTCTTCTGGGGAGGCTCAGGAAATTCTTCACGCTTCGCGTATCCCCACCAGCCCATCTCAAAACAGCAACTCTAGCGAAGCATGCCGACAGTCGTGTTTTTCAGGCGTGTTTCCGCCTGCCCCCGCATATCTCCCCTGTTCCTCCTTCCTCCCGCCTCCTTGTACATCCTCCTTGTGGTGGGAGCGGGAGAAGGACGAGGCGGAGGAGGAGGGAGAGAAAGCGCTCCTCGTGGTTTGAGTCGTTCGGGCTTCTCGTCCTGGTGTGAGTCGTTCGGGCCCTTCTTCCTGGTGTGAGTCGTTCGGGCTCTTCGTGGTGTGAGTCGTTCGGGCTCTTCGTCCTGGTGTGAGTCGTTCGGGCTTCTCGTGGTGTGAGTTGTTCGGGCCCCTCGTCCTGGTGTGAGTCGTTCGGGCCCCTCCTCCTGCCCGTCCAAGAACGACGCCCAGGCGAGTAGAGGGTCGTCCTGATGCGCTTTTCGGCGTCTTGGGTGCCTCGGGGGGGCCTCTTTGGGCCGTTTGGGATCCTCTTGGGGGCCTCCTGGGGGCCTCTTAGGGCCATCTTGGGGCCTCTTGGTGCCTCCTGGGCGCTTCTCGGGGCCATCTTGGAGGAAATCGATCAAAGAAGAGGGGAGCTTTTATTTTGCGCTGCCCCCTCAGAAGGCCAAAATGGGGCCAAAACCTTAGTAAAATCAATGATTTTGGCTTGAAAGAAGAGGGGAGCTTTAATTAGCGTTGCCCCCTCAGAAGGCCAAAATGGGGCCAAAACCGTAGTAAAATCAATGAGTTTGGCTTCAAAGAAGAGGGGAGCACTTTTCTTTCTCCCCCCGTCGGGGCCAGAATCCTCGTGAGGGGCGTCGTTTTTTAGCCCTCCCAGGAGTCGAAAAAGACTCCTCCGGCCACCCGCGAAAGGACCTCTCCAGGTCCAGGGGGAGGGGGTAGGGGGAGGGGTAAACCCCTCCCCGAAGGGGAAGAAGGGGGGTTGAGAACAGAGAGAGCTCGCTAAACCACTCACGCCCAAAGGGCTGGTGGGACTTCTCGGAAGGCCTGGGAACTCCCGAGCCTTCTGAGATGGCCCGCCCCCTCTCGCTTTATCCCTGGGCTCGCCGCCGAGTGTGGGCCCTGCGTGAGGCTTGCCGCCTTGGATGAGGCCCGAGATGGCCGCCCCGCGGGCCCGTTGAAGCCGCCCCCCCCCCGGCGCCGCTGCGTGCGGGGTTCAGGCGCCTCGGTGCCCGAGTTCGACGCGGACCCGCTGCCGGAGCTCGTGAAGCGGGTCAAGAAGGCCCTCTGCTTGGCGGCGGAATCCGAGCCCTACTCTCGCCGATCAACGCTTCATGCAACTCGATGGGCGGGGGGGGTAGGGTTCGGGATTCGTGGAACACGTGGCGAAGTCCGAACCCTACGCCCGCCTCCCATCGATTCGGGGGAATCGATGGTTGGTGTGGGTAGGAATCGGATGATGTCCCCACCTACCTGATACATTGCATCTCCGGGCAACCTTTCTGTCTTGTTAGTGGCAGCATTTCTTGTGCTCCGACGTGAGTTCGGCGCGGATTCGAGGTGGAGTTGTCACGGTTTCGACATGGATTCGACACTGATCCGGCACGGACAGGACGCAGATGGTTGGCGCAATGGGATAGATGAGGTCTCCTAAAGATGGAACATAGCTCCTGGTTCTGGAGGAAGATCGCTTGACAGTGCCAGGGGGGTCACCACTAGGGGGGAGCACGGAAAAACGCGGGAAACGAGACTAATATCATGCCAGCTGGTGAACTCCAAGCAGTCGGTTCTATCAGTCTCGATGTGCGGTCAATGTGGTGCATTCTGTGCATGATGCAGGTATACGCGTTGCAATACATTTGGCCCGATCTGCGTGGTACATTATATGCGGTGCTATCTATATATAGAGAGCAACATGTGGTTTTATAGCCCAGTACATGTGGCTCAGTACTGCAGTATGCTTGATCCCCGATGTGTGTTACCCTGTGGTTGGTGCCAACCGTGGGGCACCAAGCAGAAGGCCCAGACCAGACGGAGCCGACAGATATCGGCAGCCTGCAGCCCAGAGGGAAGCATAGGGTACCAACCTCAGCGCAGCGACCACAGGGCACGAGCGGCCGACTTGGGCCCTGAGGGGAACGCATGGCACCAACGCGTGAGGCTCCGACCATATGGCACCCTCCAGGAACGGCAACTGCAACTGGCGACCCATTGGGCGGGTTCGTGAGGACTCCCAGTTGTAATTCTTGCTTTGCGAAAGCAATGTGGAACAGCGGTATCGCCTGAACATGGAGTCAGTACGTTACCTGCCCACGTACGTCCACCCTCGTCCCACTTCTGGCTTGCACGTCCTCCACGGGCAGATCGAGAAGAGTAACATTCTAGATGTTCACAAGGAGATTGTCTTGGGGTCCTCTCGAGGGACCTCCCATCCATCAGAAGTGGTCCGTCTCCTTCCCTCCGTCTTCCCTCCCACCTCTGCGCTCTCACCTCCGTCCTCCTTCCTCCTTCCACGTGTCCTCCTCCTCCCTCTTGGGTGTGCACTTTGTGTGCCTGCGGGGCGAGAGAGGGTAACGGCCGCCTTCGGGACCTGGCGAAGGAGCGCATCCGTGCGAGGGGTGAGCTCCCCACCAAGATGGGGGCTCAGGTCCTCCAGCGTCTTTCTAATGGGCGGCTGTTGAATCGGTGATGTCCCCCTGACGTGGCGTGGTCTGACAGAGTCAGCCTGGGGTTCCCCTTTGGGTAATCCCTCCGCCCTCTTCTGCCCTCGTTCCCCCTTCGGCTTCCCACCTTCAGCTCGTCAGTGTGCTTCGCCTGCGCAATGCACCCAGCTTGCTCTACGCCTCGTTGCCGGCGTTGCGACCAGGGTAGTGGGGTTGCCGGTGGTCATGACTGGAGGTTCCCTTCATCACTGAGGGGGGGGAGAACGACGAGGATGACGATGATGAGAGAGTGGCTTTGTGGCGCAGGTGCGCCACCAAGGCTTGGTGGCGGCCGCCGCGTTGGGAAGACACGTATCGAAATTGCACGTATCGAAGACACGTATCTAAACCTCTTATCGTTCTTCCAGCATGTATTAAGTCCGTCCGTTCTTTATCCCTCTCTCTCACGCACACACTAGTTACATTTCTTTCTCGCCCTATCTCTCTCTCACACTGTCTTTCATTATTCCTGCCTTACTTCCATCTTCTTCCCTGTTCCCTCTCCGCCTTTCCTTCCCGCCTCTGCCCATCTCCCCCTCACCCTCGCACGCTCCCTCGCCCCCCCTTTCCTCTGTCTCTGCCTCCCTTCTCCCCCCCTGCTCTCCTCCCCGTCCCCCTCGTCCCCCCGCTGCTCCGTGTCCCGCTCCCTCATCCCCACCCTCCCCTCCCTCGAGATCCGACACCACGAAAGAATGCCACATCATAGAACATCGCTCAGGAGGGAAAACACACACACAGACACAATTCATCGTCGATGTTCATAGAAAATATGGGAAAATATGGGCAGTGGGGGGGAAGACGAAAACCCAGAAACTATAGGAACATATGGGGAATCCTGCTATTCGTGTCTATTTATTTGTGTGTCCCAGGGCCCCTTCATCAGATAACATCACGACATGAGCCTCAGACCCAGACCCGGTCTTCTGGCGACCTTTTTTTTCAGGCCGGCTCGATCTGCGAGGGCCTCGGGGTCCGCAGTGCGGCGACGTCGCCACGTGTGATTTTTTTTTTCCGACGCCAGGATTGGACGCTCCTCTGTCAAGCAGTGGCGTAGCGTCGCGGCTCGCCTATAGCCCTACCAACCGATGTTCTAAGAATTTTTTGGTGGTTTCCACGAAATGTTCTCAGAACATTGTTTGGCAGGGGCTGTCTTGTTTTGACACATAAGGCTCAAGTTCTAAGGACATTGATTTTGTTCTGAGAACATTTTGGGGTTCTAAGAAATTTCGTGGTAGGGCTAGGAATGCCGGGACGGTCGGTCCCTGCTCAACTCTGTCCCCCCCCCCTCCTCTCCGCGATCGGTTTCTCGGTCGAGCCATCTTTCGAGTAGGGGATTGACGACAGAATTCATGTACCCCAGAATTCATTTTCCCGCCGAAGCTGCGAAGCATGAGTACAGTGCTCCTCAGATCTACAGAAGTTTCCGTGCATATTTCGTGGATCTGGCGGGGACAAACCATTCTTCGCGTGCTGTCCCGCCCAAACGCCCCTGCACTACTCCGGCCTCATTTTGCCATTGCGGTGCGGCCCTGCTCCGGGATTGGTCCTGTCACGCCTGTGACGCCTTTGGACCCCTCCAAAGGGAGGGATGCGGTGGGAAAGTCAAGTTCGCAATTTCGCTTGAACTTGAAATAGCGATAGCATGCAACGTACTGGAAGAGATGGGAAGCCCAGAAGAGTCCAACTATGACCGACCAGGCAAGACGAGCTGGGGGACCGATGAGAAGCAAGGCGAGATAAGGATGGGAGGACACTTAGGGAGCTACCTGGGCACCTGTGGTCAAGAACATCTGGGAGAGACCATGACGCGGGATAAGGACGGAATGTCCCCCTTATTGCCATGGACTGGCGGGATAAGACCGAACTCAGCCCCCCACGTGTTTGGCCTGGGGATGAGACCATGGGGTCCCCCCGCCGCCAATGTACTGACAATGGTTACCTGCAGCACTTCGTGTTTCATCCTGAATTCTGGGGTACATCAATTCTTTAGTCGATCCCTGCTCGAATCTTCAACTACTTACACATGCAGCTATGTTGCTGCGTGTCGAGGTGTTGTTCGACTTGACCTCGAGATGCAGAGTAATTGCAGAGCTCTGAGGCAGATCGTTCGATCAGCAATCGTCGAAAGCATCAGTCTGCAACCTCGCCCCCCCCCCTTCCTCCGCCGCCGCCCCCCTCGCCATTACGTTCCCCCCTCTCCTCCTCGCCCTCCTCGCCCTCCTCGTCGTTCTCCTCCTCCTCCTCCTCCTCCTCCTCCTCTATCCTCGCTCCCCATCAATAATTCTTCCCTGTCGCATTCCGAGGCGTGTCGGTCGGGCGGGCCAGGTGTTTCGCCCGATGCATCCTCACAACTTCTGAGCCTTAAGCTCAGAATTTGCAACAGCCTCACGGAAGGAGGGCGGGCCGTTTTCAAAATGTGGCTTTTGCGTAAGCGCTGCGCACATTTGCCTCAAAGGTTTGCACGGGGTTCACGGATGGAGGGCGGGTGGTTTTCAACATGTGGTTCTCTTTTTGGCGCCGCGCACATGCGTCATATTCTGTAAGGGTTTCGCGGGTTGAAGAGAGGGCTGTTTTCAAAATGTGGCTCTCGCTGTAGCGCCGCGCACATTAATTTCAACACCTTGCAGGAGGTTCACGAATGGACGCTCTTCAATGCGAATAGATTTTTGTTTGTAGGGGCCACTGCAGAGGGAACTTGGAGGGAGTGTGTGTTGCAATCTGGTTGATGGGTCTTTGGCTTGCACTGGTCCTCCTCGTCCTCTTCGTCATCCTCTCCGTCCTCCGCTGCCGCCCCCCTCGCCATCACGTCCCCCCCGACGTCATGCTTGTTTTTGTTCATAACGTCGGCCCCCAGAGGTCTCGACCCATCCCTCGGCGCCGGCTTGTTATCCCGAGTCGTTTTTTTGACTGTCCCGAGGCCCGGGGAGGGTCCGCAGACGCAGAAAATCTAGAAAGACCTCCCATCCTGATTGCTTCAGGACGCGATAGGGGGCCTGGGCCCTCCTCTTCCATTCTCTCCCCCGCTCGGCCCTCTCCCGGCAGGCGAAGCAGCTGCAGGCCGGCAGGGGCCCAGGGTTGCCCGGGGGGGGTGGCTGGGGAGCGTCGCGCCGTGCGCGGCGGCGGGGGGGGGAGGGCGCGCGTCCTCTCCCGCGGTCGTGGGCTCCTCACACGAGGGGGTTCGCGGGGGGGGACGGGGAGGGGGGAGGGGAGGTGGGGGAAGGGGGAGGGGGAGGGGGAGAGGTTGGAGGGAGAGGAGGGGTAGGGCCGGCTGGGATGGGGGAGGACAATGGCCATGCTGCTGCTGATGGTGATGATGCTATGGCGACGGTGGTGATGATAATGCTGCTGGTTATTATGGTCATGTTAGTGCTGCTGATGATGCTGCTGCTGCTGGGCTGGTGATGATACTGCTGATGGTAATGATTGTGATGATGATGCTGATGATGATGCTGATGATGATGGTGAAAGTAGTGATGATGACGATGATGTTGCTGATGATGATGATGCTGATGGTGGTGATGATGAGGAGGAGGAGGAGAAGGAGGATGAGGAGGAGGAGGGAACATATCAACGGAAGGAATCATAAGGATGCTTTGGAGGACGATGAGGGGGAGGGAGGTGAGGATAACGTAGAGGGGGAGGAGAAGGGCTGGAGGGCATTCACGGAGGATGATGACAATACTGATGAGAAGGATGATGCGGCTGAGGCTGAGGCTGAGGACGCTGAGCATGGAGAGGCTGGACATGAGGAGTAGGCGGTGGATGACGAGGAACGAATTGTGAAGCTAAGGGTGATGGTGATGATGATGATTCTGATCAGGAGGTGGGGGGTATATCAGGAGGAGGAGGAGGAGGAGTAGGAGGCGGAGTGGCGTGGAGTGGAGTGGAGTTGACACCGCTGCGATGCAGGTTGTAGGATCTAGGAACGCCTGGACTGGAGAGCATTCGATCGCCGACTCGGTTGCTCAGCTCGGCTTAAGACTTTGGGATTCACCCCCTGGCAATCCTGTCGAGATACTCTCTACCCGTGGCAGGCTCCCTGTACATACAAGGGCCTTTGAGGGTCCGCAAGGCCTTATCGGCGATAGCCCCACACTCGGTGAAGATCCGAATTTGACGAGTCGGAGGAACATACCGGGTGTGCGTAGTATGTGCCCAATCCCCCGCGATGTGGATTCGCGCCCCTGTCGTCGGCGACAAGATAACCCCGTCTACTTTCTGTCATCTGGGACACTCAGAGTCCATGAATTCTTTCACAGTTGCGAGGGTGGCATAGCCACAGCAGGCGAGGCATCTCCGCCCGCAATCGGCCAGGCGATGCCGAGACACGAGGGCAGAGACAGCAGCTGCAGCAGGCGGAGGGGAGGGAGGAGGAGGGGTCTCACAGGAACCACGGGGGCCACGAGTCACATCCTCTTCCTCACGATCAGCCTCCTGGCTGGCTTTGGTGCTGTCTAAGGTGGCTCGCAAGAGCCGCATACGTGTGTATGAGGAAAGCTTTCCTTCCCCACAGCAGCACATGAAGGCGGACAGAGGCGGACAGCCTTGCTTCAGCGCCGGCGACGCCTGCGAACTCGTCGGCCAGGAGGTTGCCGATGACCATGAAACGGTTGGCACGCCGCTCGGCCACGTTTGTGGCCGTGCGGTGAGAGTGTGTCCACAATACAGCCACTTCTGAATGCAACCGGTCTCACCATCAAATCTTTCATCAACTTCCATACATCAGCTTCTTCACCTGCAGTGTTGAGGTATTATTTGGCATACCATCCTACAGCAGCATACTCACAGTCTGTCACATAAGTAAGATCGTGGGGGGAGCATCGTAACGCCAAGCACAGATCATACAGCTCGCCTCTTGCCACCAGTTGCCTGGAGCAGCCCAGAGGGCCAACGACAATCCCATGAAACTGAATCTCGGGCAAGAGGCTGGCCACGCACAACATTGCAACATCGATTCGTGCGAATTTGCTGATGCCAGTGTCTTCCCCCCCGCTCGTATCAACGAACATCTCCACTGGGTTGTGCGCACTAACTTCACCGGAAACGCCCTGGGTCAACTCATTGATTCTTGTGAACTCTAGGATGGTCTTTTTCGGGGGCTCGGGGACCTCCGCCCATTGTCGTGACGATAATGATGAGGAGCAGCGTGACTAGTGGAGGGGGGAGTGAGGGGGGAACGTGGAGAGGAAGGGAGGAGAAGGAGGGGGACAAGTAGTGAAGGGGCCCTGGGACACACAAATAAATACACACAAATAATAGGATTGCCTATATTTTCCAATATTTGCAGGGTTTTCGTCTTCCCCCCCACTTCCTATAGTTTCCAATGTTTTTTGGGGAATCGACGATTAATTGTGTCTGTGTGTTTCTTTCCCTCGTGAAGCATGACAAGCTCATATCTTAATCGCCCGGGGCGCGAAGCTCGAAGGCCAAGGCCCAGCTCGCCTTCGCAGAGCGTGCTTCGCCAAGAGCTCGGGTCGGGGCCAGACGAGGGTGCAGGAGGAGTCCTCCTCGCACCCTGGTCTGGCCCCGACCCGACGTCACGAACGACCTCAGCGAAGCCACCCTGTCGTCACGAACCCGACCTGGTCTGCACCCTCGTCTGCACCCTCGTCTGCACCCCCGTCTGGCCCTACCCGGTCGTTCGTGATTTCCTGGACGTCACGAACGACCTCAGCGAAGCCACCCGCCTGCAGGCCTCTCCAGCCGCCGAGTGTTGTTCGCAGCAAAGGCCGCAAGGCCTTGACGGACTGCGCGGGGCGTGAGCCTTCGCCCCGAGGAAGCGCAGGCAGACTGTGTTTGCTGCCTCCGTTGCTGCCAGGTCTCATCTCAGACAGTCCACGGGCCACTTGCGCCAGGGACTCGCCCACGCGGCACCTCAGGGACGTGTTGACGTCTGGCCTGCTTTCGTCTTGTCGGTTGCGTCGTGTGGTGCCCGTGCTGGTCTGGGGTTGGGGCCCTGGAGGTGGCTGTGCCACTCTTCTGGCTGGGCGAGGGTCCTTGCCACAACCGTCCAATAAGCACGAGCCATTCGGGAATCCTATACAACAGGGATGCGTGGAAATCCATCGAGGCTTTTAGGGTTATCTTCAATCTTATCTTCATCGACGCTCGGTCTGAGGTTCGCAGCCGCATCGGCAGCCGCGGGGCTAGAGCAGGTCCGATCGCAACCCGATGAAAGCAGGCTAGACCAAGAGGGATGCGAGAGGCTATGACCTGAGGAATGGCCTGTTTCCTTGGCGCTTGCGGCACGCCCTCGTGGCCCCAATCCTAAGGTGGAAAGAGGGGATGGGAGGGATGAGGAGAAATGGGAGGCTGAAGACAGTGCGAGGGAGGAGGCGGAAGAGAATAATGAATACGGATGATGATGACGCGGATGATGAGGAGGACAGGCGGAGAAGGAGGAAGAGGACGAGGAACGGAATGGGATGATGGTGATGATGCTGATGCTGATGCTGATGCCGCTGATGATGATAATGATGATGCTGCTGATGATGATGACGACGACGATGCTCATGCTACTGATGCTGATGTAAATGGTGTTGCTGATGACGATGACGAGGATGTTGTCGATGACGTGGACGATGCTTCTGATAATGCTGATGATTATGAAGATGATGCTGATGATGATGATGGTGATGATGATGGATGGTACTGATGATGACGACGATGGCGAATACGATGAAGATGATGCTGACGACGTCGATGAGGATGCTGATGACGATGATGATGATGATGATGATGATAATGATGATGCTGCTGATGATGATGATGATGCTGATGATGATGATGATGGCGATGATGCTGATGATGCTGTTGATGGTGCTGCTGCTGCTGATGCTGATGATGATGATGATGATGATGATGATGATGATGATGATGCTGATGTTGCGGATGATGGTACTGGTGATGATGCTGCTGATGATGATGCTGCTGCTAGTTCTGATGATGCTGCTGCTGCTGCTGCTGATGATGATGATGATGATGATGATGATGATGATGATGATGATGATGATGATGATGATGTTGATATTGATGCTGTTGCTGATGTTGATGCTGATGATGACGATGCTGCCGAGGAGGAGGATGAGGAGGAGGAGAAGGGGGAGGAGGAGGAGGAGGAGGAGGAGGAGGAGGAGGAGGAGGAGGAGGAAGAGGAGGAGGAGGAGGAGGAGGAGGAGGAGGAGGAGGAGGAGGAGGAGGAGGAATAGGAGGAGGATGGTGAGACTGGTGCGGACGACGCGGAGGGGGACGGGGGGGGGGGAGAACCAGGATGATGAGGAGGAGACGTCCGAAGAGCGAGCAGTGGCCGTCCTCGCCTCAGTCGAAGGCGGCTCTGGCGAATTCGCCAGCTCGTCTGTGGTGGCGAGCCTCGAGCACGGGACCAGCTGACCAGGGTTCGTTCGGAGCGACAGCCTACACGGCCGCGATGTGTTTCATTGTTCGGGGGCGGGGGGAGAGGCGTGATCGGAGCCAAGAGGAGCGGGAGGGTGAGGGGGGGTTGGGGGTAAGACGAAGAGGAGGAGGATGAGGAGGAGGAGGAGGAGGCGGAGGACCAGTGTAAACCCAAGACGCACTAACGATCTTGCAATATGCACTCCCTCCAAGTTCCCGCCTCATAGGCCCCTGCAATGATATATTTTCATATCGGGAAGTGCCCCATTGAAGACAGCCAACTGAAACTCAATCCTTTGGACTTCAGCGCCGTGCATCGACGTGACTGTTACGTCCTGACAATGGCAAGTCGTGACATAATACGTTTTTCGTGACTTCGGCATCGAATCAACGGGACCGTTGCCTCCTGGCAATCCTCAAGCGTGCCAGAACATCATACGAACCCTGAAACCGCTGAAGAGATTTAGGGCGAATGTGCGCGGCGACAAGGCGAGAATTTGAAACAGAGCCGTACTCCATCAGTGAAGCTGTTGCGAAGTTTTGAGACGAATCTTCGCGGGGCTCAGGCAAGAGCCACATGTAAAGCAGGAACCGCCCTCCATCCGTGAAGCTGTTGCAAACTTTGGCATGAATGCGCGCGGCGCTCTGGCGAGAACCGCATGTTGAAAACGGCCCGCACCCCATCCGTGAATCTGCTGCAAATTTCAAGATTCTGGATCATAAATGATGTGGAAGTCTCTAGCGAAACACCCGGCACGCCCTACCGACACGTCTGCGGGGGGCGACAGGGAGGAGTTATTCATAAGGACGAGGCATGGGGAAGCGGAGGAGAACGAGAAGGAGGAGGAGGAGGAGGATGAGGACGAGGCGGACGAGGAGGAGGAGGAGGAGGAGCAGAATGAGGAGGCGTCATCTTGGCACCTAGAGATGTGCACTTAGTCGCAGGGCGTTCGGTGCTCGCGTCCCTCGTGTTCGGAGGGTGGCTGGGCGTATTCATTACTTCGGCCTGTACCTTCACTTGCGTCTGGAGCCGTCGGCCTGTCAGAGGCCATGCAAATCATCGAGCACGACACCCCGAATTCCGACGTCGCCGTCTTTCCACGAGGTGGGTCCATGGGATGCCGCAGCCTACGACCTGACCTGACCTGACCTGATCTGACCTTGAAGTCTGGGCACTTGGCCGAAGTGGCATCTACCTCCTGCCGCTGGCCTCACTGAGATCGATGTCCGGGGGGTGCCCGCTCCAGAGCGCTGGAAAATGCCGAGCCGACGTGGCAGGGCTTGCGCAGCAGCGCCCCCCGGCTGCGCAGGCAGCAGGTCGCGGGCGGGGCACGTCTCCGTATCCACAGCGAACGCGGCGCGAACCCCTCGGCCGCGATACCATGGGCACGTGGTGGCTTTGGCGCGGATGCCCCGCGCGGAACGCATCCGCAGGATCGCGTATCCACGGGACCGCGCCTCAGAATAGAGGCGGGCACCGTCGGCAAATAGGATGCTGGCCTGTCAGCAGGTGCCCCACGGCAGTCTGTCATCCCCCTGGTGGCCCTGGGGGCCCACAGCAGTTCTGGGGCACCTGACGTGGTCAGAGTGCATTTCCTGGGAGGTTGAATTCGGAATCGGCGCTGGTAAATCCGTGGCCGAAAACGGCCCTAATCTGGCATAGTTCCTTGTGATCTGGCTTAATCCCGCATAGTCCTGTTGAGTCCTGTGGACTCCCGCGGAATACCGATGAATTCAGCTTGGTCCTGGGCCAAATATGACCGACTCTGGCTCAATGGCCCCTTCATCGGGCTCAATCGCCCTTGCTCATTCTTGCGAAGGCCTTTCTGGCGTTGCTGCCTGTCCGTAGGGTCCTCGGAGATCGTCAAAGAATGTGCCTGCAGGCCTCCTAAATGCGGTCCGAGTATACGTCGTGGGAGGATCGCGCCACATCGCCGCTGCATCGACGATGCGGCTCGGTGTGTAGCCGGATTTCCTCCACGCCGACGGCGCCGATGTGTCGCCGACGTCGCCGATGCATCGGCAATGCATCGGCGATGCGGCTGGTTCCTCAGGCCACATCTAGTTGGACCCTCTTAGGGATGCCTGCAGTGCCCAAAAACTTGAGCCACGCGCAGAGGGGATTGGGTTTCCTAGAAGCGCCCCTACTTGGTAGAAGGCGCGGGCCTTATCTATCAGCTGCCTGCGGCGAACCCCGCCACCGTGCCTGTGAAACATCGCAGCCGAAAGGAGGCTGAGTGTAGAAACGGCGCAATTCCGACGAGTAGTCTGCATTGGGGCGGATCGTGATCTCGACCTCGTCTTCGTCCGCCCGGTAGGGAGGAGGAGGAGGAGGAGGAGGAGGAGGAGGAGGAGGAGGAGGAGGAGGAGGAGGAGGAGGAGGAAGAGGAGGAGAGGGAGACAATGAGGATAAAGAGGAGCAGGCTTCTTGGTGCCTTTTTGGGGCTTCCTGGGAGCCTCCTGGGATCTTCCTGACAGCTTCTTGGGGGCCTCTTGGGGGCCTCTTGGGGGCCTCTTGGGGTCCTCTTGGGGCCTCTTTGGCCTTCTTAGGCGACTCTTGGCCCGTCTGACGCCTATGGAGGCCACCTTAGGGGGCCTCTACAGGCCGCGTTGGTGCCCTCTTGAAGCGGTTCGCGTCCGTCTTGGGGCCCTCTTGAGAGCTCCTTGGGCGATCTTTGTGTCCCTTTGGGCCGACTTCGGGCCCTCTTGGGGGCCTCTTGGGCTGTCTTGGAGCTATATTGGATGCCTTTTGGAGGCTTCTTGGGCCGTCTTGGGCGGTCGGAAACCCGAACAGGTGAGAACCTCACAATCGGTTGAAATCATGAGGGGATCAATAGTTTTTGTCTGCTCGGGCGTCTGCTCGGGCTCTCCAGGAGGGCCTCTTGGAGACCTCTAAGGCCGTCTTGGGGGCTTCTTGATCTGTCGTTCGGCTGTCCTTTGAGCCTCTTGAGCCGTCTTGGGCTATCTAGGGCCATCGTGACGTTATCTAGGCTGCCTTGAACGCCATCCTGGAGGCCATGATGCTCCCAATAACGCCTCAAGACAGATCAAGAGGCCCCTCAGACGGCCCAAGAGGTTTCCAAGAGTCCCTCGTGGAGAGCCCGAGGAGGCCCAAGCCATTGAGTTTTCCCTTGGCTTTCGAAGGATGCTGAGGTTCTGGTATGTTTGGGGTTTCCGACCGCCCAAGTCAGCCCAAGAAGCCTCTGGGTCGTCTTGTTGCTCTCCTGGAGCGCTTGAAGGCCGTTTTTTGGACCCCTCATTGGGAGGCCCTTGGGCGATCTTTTTGGTCCTGTTGGGCCGACTTTGGGCCCTCTCGGGGGCCTCTCGGGCTGCCTTAGACCGTGCTTAGCCCTGAGGCGTCTTGGAAGCCTCTTGGGTCGTCTTTGGTGGCTGGAAACCCGAACAGGCGAGTACCTCAAAATCCTTCAACCTCCAAAGGAAAATCAATGGTTTGGGCGCCCCCTTGGGCTCTCCAGGAAGGTCCCTTGGAGCCCCCTGGGGCCGTCTTGGGGGCCTCCTGGGCGGTCTTATCCCCTCCTGGGTTATCTTGAGGCGTCTCGAGGCTCTCTTGAGAGGCTCTTGAGCTGCCTTGGGCCATCTTGAGCCATTTAAATGTCGTCTTGGTTGTCGTGGAAGCTGCCTTGGAGGCCATCTTGGCCGTCTGGAGGCCGAAACGACTGACAGAAAACAATTTCAGAAGGGGCGATTTTCTAGGAACGCGTGCCGACAGGGGTGGTGGTGGCCCTAGAAAATCTTAAAGAACCTCCCAGACAACAGACGAGCATTGTAACACGCCCACTCCGTGCATGCACGGTGGCGGGTAGATGTAAGGCCGGCGCCTTCTAAGAAGCAGCTTCCCTCTAAGAAGCCACCCCCCCTCCCCCTGCCCCCCCTGTTCGGGGAAACGTAAGGTTCGAGTGCACCTGAACTCGGATTTGCCGACGGTTTTTTGACGAGCGCGACCTGGATTTTGACGGTCCAGGTTTCGTGGGATGTTTACGGCGGGAGTTCGCGCCAACTTTCAGGCGGGGCCTCGTCGTTTTTTCATGATGGCACCGCCAGGCCAACCCGAGTCTTGCGTCTCCCCGTCCTGGGCGCGCCGCCAGGATCTCTAGTTGTGGAGGCCGACCAATGGAGAGGAAACATGTTGCCAAATCATTCCCAGATGTCTAAATCATGTGTTAACCATGTTTAAAACACGTAAAACACATGTTTAGAACACTTCTCCGACATGTTAAACACATTTCGAATTCAATGATGGGACTGTTAGGGTGTCCCTTGTCGTGGCATCCACAAATCTTTCGGCGTGCGTGGGCGGGGAATATCCAAAACCAGTGAAAAAAAGAGTCAGGGAACGATTTTTTAGCATTTTTTTTAGCCAGTTGGGAGCATTTTTGGAATTTTTCGTTCAAAATCCCCCTGTAGGGGGACAGGCCCGACCAAACGCCAGGATCTCTCGGCGTGTGTGGGCGGGGGGGGCGCGGCCGAGCCGCCCCACGCGCCCCTCCGCGGGCCAGCGCGCCCTGCCCGCCGCCCCCCGCGCGCCGCAGGGCAGGGCCGGCGAGGCGAGGGCGGCCGAGGTCCTGGCGCCGCTGGAGCCCGTGGAGCCTCGCGGGGGAGGGCTCCTGCGGCGGCGAGCGAGGGGGGTGGCATTAAGTCGGGCACGTCCCCCTACAGGGGGATTTTGGGCAAAAATTGAAAAGACCCCCAACATTAGAAAGACCCAAACATGCCCGGGGGAGGGTTTTTGCGGCGGCGAGCGAGGGGGGTGGGAGGTGAGGAGGAGAGTCAAGCAGTGGCGAAGCTTCCTGGCTCGCCTATAGCCCTACCAAACGGTGTTCTAAGAACCTTGTGTGGTTCCCACGACATGTTCTTAGAACATTTCTGGCGCAGTCTGTCGTGTTTTATCACATCGGGTCTAGGTTCTAAGAACATTTTTGGGTTCTGAGAACATTTCGTGGTAGCACTATAGGAATGCCGGGACGGTCGGTCCCTGCTCAAGGGGGAAGGCTTTTGCGGCGGCGAGCGAGGGGGATGGGAGGTGAGGACGAGAGGGCCTTCTCAGAAGGCGTCGGGGCGTCTCATAAATCATGGATCCTCGCGCCTTCTGAGAAGTTGTCCGCGTCCTCGGGCAAGGCTTGGGCAACTTCTCAGAGGGCCGGGGGACTTCCGAGCCTTCTGAGAAGGCCTTCTTTTTCTCACTTCCCCCCCTTTGCTCGCCGCTGGATTCTGAGATGTTGAAGCTGATGACGCTGTGAGCCTGTCATCGAAGAGCAAGAAGCAGCACAAAAACATGAACTTGTGGCGGTCCGCCCAGATTTCTTGGATCTGCGCTGGAACCCCCTGGCGGCGCCTTCAGCGCCGCCCCTAGCGCTCCGCGCGCCAGGGGCGCGCGAAGCGCCAGGGGCGGCGCGAACCGTCAAATGCTTACCTTTATGCCTTTTTTGTTCTTCTGTGTTGGCAGAGGCTGGCACGCAACTGGCAGAGCATCAGTCAGACGAAAGACTCTGCACGGACACCAGGGAGCTCTGAGAGCAGTGTCCTTCCCACCCCTATGTCACCATCCCTCTGGAAGACCCCACTCCTGAAATCAAGCAGCGAGGCAGGGAGGGGGTGAGGGAGGAGGCTCGGGCTGGAGTCGTGAGCAAAAGTCACGATGGAAGGTTTTTGGCTGTCTTCGGCCTCCGGGGGCTTTCGCCGGGCTCCGGGGCCATCAACAAACAACTCGGGATGAAAAACCAGCCCTGGTGGAGGGTCGGGGCTTCGGGCCAGGGGTATTGTATTGAAAAGCTCAACGCATCGGAGGGGCGACCCTTGATTCGAGGTTCAATGTTCTCGGACCTTTTCGTCGGTCCTCGGCGGCTTCCAGCCTGGTGATGCATTCGGCGGCTGCGCCTCGCCGAGGGCGTTCCGGGAGTGTCCGAATCGTCCCGGACGGCCGCCGGAGACCCGAGTTGTGAGGGCAGCGCAGGCGCCCCGCGGGCGGGCGGCTTCGCCCTCCCTTCCCTTCCCTTCCCTCCTCCTCTCTCTCTCTGTCGCGTCGTCCCCTCGTCGTCGTTCCCCCTCTTTGCCAGAGGGCTCCTCCGCGCCAGGTATAAAAAAGTGAGGGCAGCGCAGGCGGCATACCGAATACCATATCGGACTGTGAGGGAGGATCACCCAGACATGATCGCGTCGTGAAAATCCGCAGAGGGCAACTGCCTGCGGCCTCTTTTGGGGGCCTTGGCCAGGGCCCCGTGGAAACGGCGTCGGGAACATCGTCACACTTGGCAGTTTTCGGCCTGCGGGGGCCCTGGCTGGGCCCCGGGACCGTCAAAAAGTTGTTCGAGATGGAGAGCCGGCCGTGGGGGAAAAGGTTGGGACCCTCGGGGGCCCCGCTTTGACCAAGTCTTCAAGGGAGGATAAGGCAGTCGTCACTGGTGAGGCTTCCGGTTGCGCAGACACAGGCCCCCAGGTAGTCGTGGGATTTCGGTGCACGAATCCCGTGACGCATGCAGCGCCCTCACTGCCCGCGCTCGCTGCCCCAGATCATGGTTCTTGCCCCGGGCCTGGCAGGTTGCGCGCAGCTGCGTGCAGTAGTGTGCACGTGGCCCATTGGGCCGTCGGGCTCCTGCACGCAGCGCGCGGGTATGGTATGTTTAAATCGTGCCTGTCCCTCTACAGGGGGGAGATTCAAGAATTATCAAAACATAGTATGGGGACCATTTGTTGGGTATGTTCGAGCATGTTTCTGGTAATTTTCGACGATTTTTATTTTTTGCCCGAAATCTCCCTGTAGTGGGACAGGCCCGACCTAAGGGTATGTGTTAGTTGTTGACGTCGCGCTGCCCCTCCCTTCTATTGCACTCGTCCTCGGCGACGCACTGCGAGAGGCGCCCACACGAGCATCGCTTTTGGCTTTATGGGCAAAAAGACAACTGCGTGGCTTTGGGGGCGCCCCTGGCTCTAACCACGTTGAGGCAGGCAGAGTGCCCCCGAGACTTCGTAGGAGAGGGAGGATGAGGCGTAGCTTCTGGGCACTCCCGCCGCACCCAGATGTTAGCCGAGGCGGGAATTTATCCATAGCCACCGCCTGAGGGATCGATCTTCGGGGACCTCGGCAGGCGGCGGATACGGGTACATTTGGTCCCCAGGGGGCCCAACATTTAATACATGTCCGCCTCCGCCTGGGGTCCCACGACTTCGGTCTCCCAGGCGGTGGATCTGCATAGGTCCCCGACTCGCATGGTTGCCCCCCTCGCCCCCTGCACCTGGGCGTCGGATAGGAAATCGTGGACGGCGTCCACGTGCGCCTGTCCGGGCTCATGTTCTGGGCCACGTCGCAGCGCGACAAGTTCGGAATCGGCAGCACCCGCACAGCCCTGGCGGCGCTAGCGCTGGTCCTGGCGCTCGGCCCCGCGAGGCTCCCCGCTGGTCGCCGTCGGGGCAGAGTAGGGGGATGAGGAGGAAGCTGGGGGCCGCAGAGGCAACATTGTATGCATCTGAATTGTCACCCAGATGTTTGATGTATCTGTTTGTGTGTGTGGTTTTATTTGTGCGTTGTATATACATATGGGTCTGTCTGTCTGTCTGTCTGTATGTATGTATGAGTGCATGACTGTACATATACGCATTCATATGCACATATATATATATATATATATATATATATATATATATATATATATACATATACATATTGTATGTAGAGTACCCAAACTGTGCTTGCATTTAGGTTTCCTTTCTTCTGGTCTACAGAACTGGGCATGTGTGTCGGCCTGGCGGCTCCGTGCCAGCCGTCGTCGCCCCGTCGCCGCCTCGTCGCCGCCCGTCGCCTGGGCTTGTGAGTCGGTCTGGCGGCTCCGCGCGGGCCGTCGCCGCCCCGTCGTCGCCTCGACTTCGCCCGTCGCCGTTGCTTCGCCGTCGCCGTCGCGTTGCGTTGCTTTGCGTTCCGTTGAACGTTGCTCCGCGTTGCTCTGCATGGCTTCGCACTGCAACGCGAAGCATTGCGTCGCCACCCGTCGCCTCGGCCATGTCTTTGGCGGCGACGGCGGCCATGTCTTGGCCATAGCCGCTGTCGCCGCCCCGTCGCCGCCTCGTCGCCGCCCGTCGTCTGGGCCTGTCTGTCAGTCTGGTGGCTTTGTTGTCGCAGTCGCCGCCACGTCGCCGCCTCGTCGCCGCCCCAGATTGCACGACATATATTGCACCGCATCGGTTGCACCTCAAATCTTGCACACCATAGATGGCATCGCGCCGCGCATATTGCCCAACATAGTTTGCACCGTGTACGTATGTGTGTATGCATGTAGTTATGTAGTTATATAACCACATTGATTGTGCCACATAGACTACACCACATAGGTTGCACGACATATATTGCACAACGTATACTGCCCTACATATATTGCACCGCGCATGCTGCAAGTCGTAGCTCGCACAACAAACTGCACAACAGAGGCGAGACTGGCCTTCCTGAAGCTGGAGAGGATTGCCAGGCCTCGGACGCATTGCGGAGAAGGTGCGAAGGATGCCGCGAGTGCCACGGGTGCCACCAGCCGCTGGGAGCATTGCGCGCCGCTGAGGCGAGGCTGGAGAATGCAGGCGTGCCCTCCCGCTCCTCCCCTCTCTTGAGATCCTCCTGCCTCCCCTCCTTCTCCTCCTCCTTGGACGCGTGGTGCTGTGCTCTGTGCGACGTGCTGGCCTCGATTGGGGCGTGTGGCTCTGAGGATGATAGGGCGGAAATACATATCAGCATGGCAGTGGGCATGGGTGGGGCAGAGGAGGGAGAACGGGAGAGAGAGAGAGAGAGAGAGAGGGAATGGTGTCATGCGGGGTCGGGGGAACGGGTGTATTGTTAGGGATGAGTGTGATGGTTGTGATTACGATGGCCATGATTGTCATGATAATGGCGATAACCATGCGAGATTGTGCAAGAGCTATACGCTGAAGTTGGTGATTTTGGTGGTGACATTGATGGTTATGTAGGCCAGGACGGTCAGGACGAGGGGAGGCGGCCATGTGGAGAGGCACTTGTGAGATTATGACGGTGCTCGCACGAAGAAGATGATGCTGATGTTGACGATGATGATGATGATGATGATGATGATGATGATGATGATGATGATGATGATGATGTTGGCGATGCTGATCATGATGACGATGACGGTGATGATGATGATGCTGATGATGATGATGGTGATGCTGCTGATGATGATGATGATCATGAGTATGAGGATGATGATGCTGATGATTATGATGCTGACGGTGACGATGATGATGACGATTGCGATAACGATGATGACGATGATGATGCTGCTGATGATGCTGTTGTTGGTGATGATGATGACCATGACAACTCTGACGACGATGATGATGATGATGATGATGATGAGGATGCTAATGATGATGATGACGATGGAGATGGAAATGGTGATGATAACGATGATGACGAAGAGGACGGCGACGACGACGATGATGATCTTGTTGATGATGCTGATGATGATGCTGATGATGATGCTAATGATGATGCTGATGATGCTGATGATAATGATACTGGTGGTGGTGATGATGATGGTTAGGAGGTGGAAGATAAGATGAATATGCGTATATGATATGGTGGCCACTGTGAGGACTGAGGAGGAGGAGGAGGAGGAGGAGGAGGAAGAGGAAGATGCGGATCGTGAGGGGAGTCGGGACGAGGGATGAGAAGGAGTCAGGGGAAGAGGCGGATGAATTGAGTGGAGGCGAGCGGTGGGAAGGTGCAGCAGGAGAAGGAACGATAGGAGACAAGAGGGAGGGAGGGCCAAAAGACAGACCGTCGCATGAAATAGTCCTCGCCGGATCGCTAAGGTTTGCGGGCCACGCGGGCTCTGGGCTGGTAATTGGTGTAGTCGCCGTGGGGCTGGTCATGGAGCTACTGGCCGTGTGCGACAGCAAGAGCAGCGGTAACCGACTCCGACGGGCAGGTTCCTCTCCCGCTTCTCTCGCTTGTCTATCTCTGGCACTCGTCGACCGACGGCTTTCCAAAAGGGGTATCGCAAACGAGGAATCGACAGTTCGGAATCTATGACAATGGGGATGCTGGTCGATTACTTGCCTTTGCGGTTCGGGTGGAGGAGGCCTGGGGGGAGAGACAGGAGAAAAAGAAGGAGGAGGATGGGGAGGAGGATTAGGACGAGGAGAATGCGGATGAGGAGGAGGAGGAGGAGGAGGATATAGTCCAGGACGTCGCGAGGTATCGCACCGGAGCGACTTGGTATAATACCGGAAAGCCTCGATATTGTACCAAGAAGCTCTCCGGTGCGGTACCAGAAAAATGTGGTACAGTACCGGAAAAAAATGGTATTGTACCAAACGCGTTTGGCATTATTCCAAGTTCGCGTTTGTAGTGTGATTTTACACATGCGGTCCTGGCCGAAGTGTATTTGGTACGATACCTGAAAAACTTGGTACAATACAAAGTTTTTTCGGTATTGTACCGTAGCGTCGTCTGGTGCGATACCTTGTGTCGTCTGGGACAATGCTTAGGAGATCTGTGATTCGGCAGTGCGGAGTGTTGGGGGCGCGCTGCGAAACTAGGTAAGATCGGCGGGCATGTCGATCATATTTTGACACCCGCGATCGCGGTCGCGTCCCCCGCAAGCAAGTTGGTATTGGCCGGTTCCCGTTTGGAAGCGGGGGTGGTCAAAAGCGGGGTAGGTTTTTCGCCTTCTATATGTAGTATCACCACCACCACTACTACTACTGCTACTACTACTACTACTAC